AGCCGACGGAGAGCCTCGTAGTAACGGCAAGCATTCAGCTGACGGTGAAGCTCGCAGCAACGATAAGAAGCGCAAATTAGAGGACGTAGAACGGCCGCCATCTAAGAAAACAAAACCAGCCGATGACGAGGTATTCGTTATTGACGATGATGCCGGTACCGGGGCCATAGAGATCCTGGATTGAGCCATCTTCTCTTGGGCTCTTTGTTTCGCTCATCACGCCGAAGTTGCCGCGTTTCCGTTATGGTTGCGCGCTACGTTGCGCTCAAGCCTCCATCGATATTCAGGACGCAATTATGAGCGTAAGAGTTGGTGGCTAAGAACAGTGCGGCGTCTGCTACCTCGTCGGCCAGGCCTAGGCGTCCCATGGGGATTAAGGCAGAGAGCTCGCCATTCTCATCCATACCTGGTGAGCTGTATATTAATAATCTTGTAGTCTACGGGGTGCTGGGAGGGAGGGAGAAAAGGCTTGGGGTGGCTATGGATCGGGTGGGTGAGGCATTACCTTTCGTCATGTCAGTCTGGACATATCCGGGTAGGAGTACATTTGCACGGATGTCGAATCTGCCAACTTCCCAGGCCAGAGATCGGGTAAGAGCTAGAAAAAGGAGCATTAACTGCGCTGCCTCTCGCAATAGAAGAAGAGAATAAGAGTAATAGACAACATACCAACGACGCCGGCTTTCGATGCGGCATATACACCTGCTCCCCGTCCGCTGTTCGTAGCAAGCAAGCTGGAGACGTTGATGATGCATCCTTGAAGGTGGCGCCGATCAGCATATTCTCTCAGGCATGGGAGGTGGACGTAGACAGAAAGTTGCTTCTCTTACCGCTCTTCTGCCTCATCATTCTGGGTATAAAGTGCTTGCAACCCCATATGGTACCCATGAGGTTGGTGGCGACGAGATCATCCAAATGGGTTGTTTTAGCGGCAAACAAGAACGAGTTCTGCGTGATGCCAGCTGCATTCACGAGTATGTCGCATCTTTGCTATATCACACAGCCTTTCCTTAGCACTACGTTCTAGGGAAAGAGATAGATGGTGAACAAGCCGGATTACCCCGGGTTTGCGATATTGGCGTCACGTACGTTCTTGGTATCGGAGTAGAGCTTCTGCCAGCCGTTCGAGATACCGACGTCGAAGCACGAGGTGCTGTGCTGCACGGCATCGTCCTTTCTGTCTAGACTATTGACGGCGGTGACGAGGTTGTCTTGATTCCGGCCGATGAGGGTACATCCGGCACCCTCGGCGGCGAAGAGTCGGGCGATAGCAAGCCCGATGCCTCGGCTGCCGCCCGAGATGATGCACTTTTTGCCGGCTAGAGACATGACGTACTTTGCTTCTTTCTCCCTCCCTCTCTCTTTTGATTCTCTGGCCTTCCTATGGTTTACCCATTCGAAGATAGGAAACGTAATCAAGCCACGAGTTACTCCTATCTTTGCAAATATGTACCTTGACACAACGACTTTTTGCTTTTGGCATCTGTCTAATGCGGAATCATGTTGATGTCACGTGCAAAACTGTTGAATTGGACGAGTAACGAGGTACTGTCTACGACATTTCTTCGCTTGTGAAGGCGGGACGACAGGATGGTCGCTGATTAGCTATAATTGGCAGATTATATGCAGGATTCCCCTGAGATTCGACCTGAACAAGGTTAAGGCAGATGGCTAAAAGCCCCTGGAAAGCGGGCTAACATGCCGCCATCGTATGTATAAGCCCACACACAGCTAGACGGCGGACAGCCCACGGCTTGTTAAAACTGACGACACAGCATGTGGGGGGTTTTTTTTTGTCACGGTGAGCTGGGCGAATTGGGTCGAGTCCCTAGGTGTGTTAGCTACCTGTAGCTTAGAGGTAGGCATTGTACTTACTTTACGTAGAAGGAAAAACAATACACCCCCCGGTTGCCTGTCGTGATTTTTCAGAATTGGCCTCCGACGGCCTTTTTTTTTTTCTATTCATTAAATGTATGCCTAGCGTGGTGAAAATCGAGTAAAACGGTACCGACAAGGGCTTAGATGGTTGATCGAATCCTACTTTCTGGCACATTATTCATATACTCTAAACTGTACATATTTTACCTATTCAACTGTTCGCATACGTCCCGCCTCGACTTGACTTCTTGATTCCACCTCTCCAATCACCTGCTGAGGTTCCAATTCGACGCCATTCGAGTCATCTTTCCTCGCGTACATCTCACCCTAGTATATTTCCCGACATATTACCGCCTGGCTCGGACTCGACCGCGGACCAAGTCGAACAGATAGGACATCTCTATTTCGATGCGCGACCGGCCGATTCGACCACGACGCTCGACTCCTCCAACAACCGACCCGTCCATCGGGATCGGATCGCCGCCGCTGCTGCCTAGATCCCTTCCGTTCATGCCGCTCGCCGACTCTACGAGGACAGACCCTCGGATCCGATGGATACCAGCCACTCCGACGCCAATGGCGGCGCGCTCCCCGCGATCCAGATCGACCCGACCATCGAGAAGAAGGAGCAGGTGGTCGACGCCGGTCTACAGAGTCTAGATCATTGTACGTTGCTTTTTTCACTTGAAACAATGGGCGGGGAATGCACGGCGAGCTCCCCCGGCCCGCATCACTGCCCTCCTTGGGGCAAGACAAGTCCACTAAGGCCCGAGGTGCAGCACGTGAAAGGCACCTCATGTATCCTCAAGATAGGCGCACAAAGAGCTTGCGTGCTAACCTCGTCACCCACAGACAAGCGCGCTCTGCCAACATGGCGATACTTCCTGCGACAGCAAGCCCTGCCCTTAGTGCGATGGGAGACGCCCTACCTCGCCTGGCTGCAGGCCACCCTGCGCTCGCCGACACTTGATAGCTACTTCGCCATTACCGCCAACCTCGGCACGCATACTTTCTTCATGATCGGGCTGCCTATCTTATTCTGGTGTGGGAACGCGTCCTTCGGGAAAGGGTATGGTCCCTGATTCCCGACACGATACGACCCGGTGACAGGAGGGCTAATATGACACCTCAATACCAGACTCGTGCACATACTCGCCGCCGGAGTCTTCTTCACCGGCTTCATCAAGGACTTCTTCTCCCTCCCGCGGCCCTTGTCGCCGCCCCTCCACCGCATTACCATGTCCGGCTCCGCCGCGCTCGAGTACGGCTTCCCGTCCACACACTCGGCCAACGCCGTGTCCGTCGCCGTCTACGGTATCCTATGCTTGCGCGACCCCGATAATCCCATCCAGCCTAGCACCCAGTCTGCTCTCGAGATGCTGGCTTACTTCTACGCCATCAGCATCATTTTCGGCCGCCTGTACTGCGGTATGCACGGATTCGTCGATGTCATTATCGGATCCATCATGGGTGCCCTCATCTCCCTGACCGAGTTCTATTATGGCCCTCCCTTTGATGCGTACCTACTCGATAATAACTGGACTAGTCTGAGTGCTATGTTGCTGGTGATCATCATCCTGATTCGAGTTCACCCCGAGCCCGCTGATGACTGCCCCTGCTTCGACGACAGCGTCGCCTTTGCGGGCGTCATGATAGGCCTCGAGATCGGCACGTGGCGCTTCGGCCGCTCATCGTTTGCGGATGTTCCGTTCGACCTAAACGCGTTGGGCTGGTTCGCCGTCATATCGCGAATCCTGTTCGGCGTGCTCATCATCTTTGCGTGGCGCGAGGTAGCCAAACCCTCGCTCCTGCGAGGCCTGCCGCACCTGTTCCGCCTGATCGAGACCTGGGGCCTGAGTCTGCCGCGCCGCTTCTTCATGCCGGCCTCCGAGTACAAGAAGATCCCGCTGCGGCTGAGGGTCGACAACGTCATGCCTAACGTGAGCGACCTGCCGGGGCTCATCACCGCCGTGCGGGGGCCAGGCCGCGGTAGATCCGTGAGCGTGGGCCCGCAGAGCGCGGCCGACGCGTACGAGACCCTGGCGTACCGCGACCGCCGCCGTAGGGAGAGCGGCAGCGTCGGTAGCCAGCCGGGGCTGCGCAGCAAGGCGAGCGTGCAGGACATGGCGGTGCAGGACGACAACAGCAACAACAACAGGAGCAGCACGTCGCCGGCAGCGCGGAGCTCGGCCGTGAGCCGCCCGCCGCTCCGCCAGAAGCCGAGCGACTTCGAGAAGCAGATGGGCGAGGGCACGGTGGTGGTGAGGCCGGCCGAGACAAACGGGAAGGAGAACGGGAGCGCGGAGCCGGCCGTGTACATTGGGTCGCAGGACGAGCTCGGCCACAAGGAGGTCTTCTCTAAGCTGGTGAAGCCGCGCGTCAGGTACGACGTCGAGGTCGTTACGAAGCTCGTCGTCTACTGTGGTAAGTACCCATCTACTGCATGCTGCCATGAGTCTTTATGCCCTGAAACTTGGTACCAATACTTGTTCGAGAAGATACCTGGCTAACGAGACAAATCGCAGGCATCGGCTGGCTAGCTGTCGAAGTTATACCCGTGCTGTACGAATTCATCCCCGGCTTAGGCGCCGGACACCTGCGGGTGGCATGAGACATTCACGGCTGCATATGAAACGACCTAATGACGCTGGTGACGACGTGTCCGCTGTATTCTTCCCGCGCTTCTTGCGTCCAGAGTTGTTGGATGCTTCTTCTACCTTGTATATATAGTATGATTCTCCTGGTGTTGGTACTGCTAATATCCAATTTTGACGCCTTGCATCCATCCCGTGCTGGCAGAGATTTGAGAGAATAGATCAAGATTAATCATCGGATGCCTTTTCGAATCGTTTCTTCATGTGCATGTTGAACTTGAACCTATTAGGCATTATGAGGGCTCGCGGCTATATTATGTTCATTCCGTAGTGACTCTAGCTCTGCAATACTGTCTGAAGGTAATACCAAATGCTTCGAGAGCCAGACCCCTGAGAGGAACGGAATGGCACTATCGTCGCATTTCGAGTGATGGAGAGCAGTTCATACCCAGTAGGCATCACCATGATATATGACATCGCAAGATGGAAAAAAAAGAAAATCATGAGATGCAAAAATTGTAAAAGAAATGGCAGTTCTGGGAATCGAACCCAGGTTTACACGGTTTATGATTTGGAATGACCACAACGTGTTGTACTAACCACTATACGAAACCACCTTCGACACGTGACTCGATGGGGATGCTAAGTGTTAAGCTTGGTTATATACGTCCCACGGTCACTAGCGCGGCTCCTCCAATTCCTACCCCGTCCAGTCTTCCCGGCCCCTATTTCGCGCGACGCCTCAAGCGTTTCCAATTGAAAAGGGATTTATGCGACAGAAGTCTGGGTTCTCAGCTAATCTGGCCCCGTTTTCCCCGATGAGCTCAATTCAGATCGCGGTCGACATTCCTTCCCTCTTCATCTCGGCTTCCCCCCCCCCCTCCTCTGGGGCAACTCGCCACAGTATCGCGACGGCTTGACTTACTTCTCCGAGCGCGGCTGCTCAGGCTAAGCGTGCGTCCGTTCGAGCCTCGACTTGGAGGCAACGAGTACGCACACGCGCGGCGTTCACATAGGCTATTGGGCGGGAGTTTGAACGAAGCTGTCCATTGTACGGTTCTATTCGCATTCGCAACTGTCGTCAACTTTTTAAGGGGTATGCCGCCTCGTATTGCTACAATGTCCCTCTTCTATGCATTCTACCTCCATTTTTATCTTCATTCTCTCGCCATGCAAGATTAAGAGCCTACAAGGTACGTATGTAATTGGTCCGTACAAGTGCCATGTCCTTCAGCCCCTGACCTCTCGAGGGCTTTGGTTAGGCGCCTTACGTAGGTACGTATATGTCAACAGCATCAGAAATCCATCTTGCTATGTCTTGCATGCAATGTTAGTGCCAGAATGAAAAGGATTGAACGGTAACACGACTCATATATTGCGTGTTATGTGTTATAAGTCTGAGTGCGTAGATATCATGATGGTGACAAGATGGCTTCCTAGCCGTAAACCCAGAGGGACATCTTATGGTGATCTAGCTGATTCCTTGTTCGTCTAGGACGGGTGTTGTCACATTCTTGCCATTATCTGGTGGCTGTGAGTCGATCTTTACGGGGGGTTACCATATAAAAGTCAATGCTCATGGATCATTGAACTAAGAATGCGTAATCTAGTCTCCCTAAGAATCGCGAATATCTGGGTTCTATACCTTGGGTAGGAGTGCGTCACGAGGACCGTTGCAGATGGCGTCTCTCTTCTTCAAGTAGAGCTCTCTCTCTACTCTGAGCAGAACTCTCTCCCTTTGGAGCAGGACTCTCTTCGCTGGCCTCGCGATTGGTACCTAGTGCTACCGGCAGAAGAAAAAAGAAGATACACAGGAAAGGGGGAACGGAGAGGAATATAGGAGGTACCTTAGGTACATATCGTTGATACCGTAAGTGCCCGGAAGCCCTTCTTGCAGCGAGAGCCCTCCAAGCGCGTACTCGCACGCTATTCAATCGTTTCTTCTTGGTACCTGATCTGACGATATCTGACCTTGTATCTGACGCTTCTCTGTAAACATAAGCCACCTGTTAGCATCAAACTTATAAGACGTTGTCGAGTTGAAGCCTCACTTATCAGACCCTCTCCTCCAGGACGTCATGTATACCATATTATAATTCACTACGCTATGCTGAGTGCCCATGAGCCATTGGAATGCGAGCGATGATATATCGAATAAAATCTGCCAAGTCAAGTCCCGTACATCTGCACGTTACGACGCATTGGAGTATGCTACGTAAGTGAGTTGAGGACTCGGCGGCTGAAAATCTCCAGGATTCAAGTCAGAAGGAGCCGACAAGTATTTTTGACCTTTACCCCGCGAGTGGATTAGCATGAATGGTGATCTTCTCTATCAACACCTTCTCCTTCGGTCTATTCTTCTTGTCTACTTCGAGCGCCTCCAGCTTCGCTAGAGTAGCGAGGCTATCGTCTCCAATGAGCTTGCCAAACACAGTGTTGAGGCCGTCAAGGTGCGGCGCCTTGTCGAAGATGATGAAGAACTGGGAGCCATTGGTTCCGGGGCCCTTGTTCGCCATGGAAACGATCCCGCGTGCGTTGTGCCTGAGAACCGGCCGGATCTCGTCTTCGAATGTCCCACCCCAGATTGATTGGCCGCCCTTTGGGTTGTCCGGCGTGGGATTCGCCGGACCGCCTGTCTGGACCATGAAGCCCGGGATCAGGCGGTGAAGGGGCGACTGGTCATAATAGTGGGATGCGCAGAGGGCCAGGAAGTTCTGTCACATCGGTCAGTGGGCGGATGAGGATGAGTGACGGCTAGGCAGACGCACCTCGGCGGTCTTGGGTACGCTTTCACAGAAAACCTCTATCTTCAGATCACCCTGCGTGGTGTGTAGAGTGACAGACATGACGCAAACGGACTAGCAGGGACACATGCCTGGTAAACGAGTTGAAGGGACTCTCGGACTTGAGGCTACTTGAAGTATATCTATCTTATGTCACGAGATGGTACCGAATAGTGGGCAGCTTGGCGTTGGAGGCTCAATAATAAGAGAAAAAGAAGAAAAAAATCACGATATCAAACACGGTGGGGCCAGCAGAGAAACAAACATGTACCTAACCGGGCTAGCCTAAGAGATGCCAAAGGCTGCCTAAGTCCCAGATCCAGGGGCGAGTGCGGGGGTTTCGGGGGGGGGGGGGGGGGGGGTTTATATCAGGTCCTAAATCGGGTGGACGGGCGAGACAGGGCTGGTTAGGGCTGCTAGGTAGCAGTAAAAGAACACTATATGCAGGTCCAACAGCGGAAGATACCTACACGTAGGTACCAATGAGTACCTAGAACTCGATACCCTCAGCCATCCATCGCCTGTCCGTCTGTCCGTCCATTGGATCCTTAGAGGCGATAATGTTACCTGCGTTGCCAGCTCTGCTAGGGGCCTTTTCTGGAGAAGGAGACACGTGGGAACGGCCCCTGCGAATCATCCTGTCCTTTTCCCATGGAAGCGCTCGTTCGACCTGTGCCGCATGGGACTGGGGCGGCCCAGAAGGGTTGCATCGCTAGGTGCGTCGCTAGGCGGCAAAGACGCTGCACATGCGACGCGTAACGGATGCGGTGCTATGTAGGCGTGTGTAGCCCGTACTCGTAGCCATGTAGGATTCGTTTCCGTTCTGCACATTAGTCTGTAAGCGCTAAGTGCAGCTGACAGAAGAAGAGACCAATGTGTTCCGAGAAAAGAATGATTCTTCTGGTTGGTTATCGCTCTCCCCGGGATTCCAACAGGAAGAGTTGGAGATGCGATGAAAGAACTCGCGCGTCCTTTGTGGCATCGCGAATAGCTACCTGGTACTGTATATAGTGTATATATTATGTATGATATATACATATATGATATAAGACAACTCAAGTTGAAGTCGAACCGTCCGCGTAAGCCGTCGGAACTCAAGACCTTCCAAAAACCAACAAGACACAGGGGTCAAAAGTCTTTTTGAGGATCGTCAGCCTCATGAGCTTTACCAGGTTCGGGTTCCCACGCGGCCCCCACCCTTGAAATCGTTTCGTAGGACTTTTTGTTCATTTTCGTCTTTTTCGTCTGAAAAGCTTCCACGCGTTCTATTGTTCTGTTGTAACCAGGCCCGCCACCTTTAGTATCTCGACTATACTGTCTGTACTTCATGTTATATGTCCAATGGGCTACAGGTAGTATAGTTCTAGAACTGCCATAAAATATTGAATTCGATGCTGCTTGAGTATACCTACCTATTTAAAGGTACCGTGAGCGTACAAGTCCAAAAGGTTCGATACAGCTGCTATGCCGTTGCGATGACTGGCGGCTTTAGCAGTAGACATGGCACCGTGACGTCGGGGTTAAGCATGTTTCGTCATGGATAGCTCAGCTGTGCTCGGGCTATAGCGTGTAAGCCTCTTGTATACATGCCTAATGCATTACTGTTAGATGCATTGCTCGAGAATATCATGTGTAAGAGCATGAAGATGCAGACGTCCAAGACAAGGAAAAGACTGGAGATAACGGCGCAACACGTAAGGCCCCGGTGGCCCTAGAGGCCCTAAAGGCGCTGATGGCCCCTCTGCCCCCTACAGTATCCGTAGAGCTGATGGCCCTAAAGCTGCCATGTCTTTTATCGCCGTATAGACTCTCCACAGATACACCCCTGCCCCGACAGCCCGAACCGGAAGGCCTGTCCTCAGTTGTCTGCCTCCTTGTCTGGCCTGTGCCGCCATACTTTTACGCCCTGACGGTCTGTGTGTGTGCTCTATGTGTACTATGGATGTGTGCTGTGTGCGTGCCCCGTTTAGCTTTCAACTTCTAGGTTTGGGTAAGGTGATTTTTACCTAGGTAATGATAATCTGCGAGTTTCCTCACCTCTACCCGCACATCCACACATCTCCTTTTTTCGCTGCCGCTGCTCGTCTTCTCACTACCTTGCCTACTGTAGGTAACAAACAAGATACCAACCTGTACGTCCTACAGTATCCGTACATAGGCGCTACCTAAGCACTAGAGTAGCCACCTAGGCACAAGGCAAGAGACTGGAAGACATACCGACCCCCCCCCCCCCCCCCCCCCCTGTCCCCCATGCGCATTAAGAGCTTGTGGGGGGCATATTCGACGCAGCTTCGATTCTAGCCCGCCTCATTTTACCCAAACCTCTTCTCTTCGCAAACCTCGACCGTTTACTATGTGCTCACCGAGCAATCGTCTAGCTTAGATTCGCCGGACGTCGCCTAGAGCCTTGACCCCTCCGTGATAGACCCGATCCCGCTACATCTACCAGTCATCTATCTACCTGTAACTCTCGGTCCAAAGTGGCTCTGTTTACTTTGGGTCCTACGAACTAAGCTACGAAGATACATACAATTTACCAACTTCGCACCTATCACCGACTGCTACTGCTACTGCTACTACCAACAACCACCAACTACTCCAACAATAACATCGCCTTGTTTATTGTCACTGCCGTCGCCGTCGACTCGACCTCTATCAGATCGGATGGTCTTGTGACCACTCTCCCGGCCGAATTCGCATTCTCACCTCAGCTGCCCTTGTCCAGCAACGGCTGCGCAACGGCAACGCAAATCTGCACAAAATCCCCAACCTGACCGAACGCCGTATCCCGCCTTTTGCGATCTCGCCGACTCTTCGCCCCAATTGACCCCCCACGAAACCGACATTGGCCGCCATCGCTCCAGACGCTACTAGATTCCGGTCGCAATCTGATTTCCGTACACCTGGGTCGGGGTCGGATCACTATTACCCACGCGAACTTGACATGGGATGCTCTTCAGATCGACCGCATTAGAGTACCACAAACGTCGTCCCCTCAGAAGCCGTCGGCTCTGAGCCGTCAATGAGGAATAGATGCGCCAACCCGACACCAAACAACCACAATTTCTTCTTCTACCGGCCTCGCGCTTCGAACAAACATGACAGATCGGGTACAAGCCTCCGTCCGGGTTTCTGGCCCTCCGAATAGTAGCTTTTTAGTTGGATATCCTGGTATCTCGGCGACATTGGTGAGTTGACCCCTCCCTTTCCCTGACGTGTTGACGTCTCTGTCTGGCTATTTTCCGCTTGTTACATACGGGGCGCGTGGCGCAAGCTAACTGCCTGTAGCCGCGTATAGAAGGGAAAGTCGAGATAAGACCATCAACAGGCTATTCCGCCCCCGTGGCCGTCTCTCTCGTGCGAATATGTCTGCAACGAAGGGAAACAATCCACCCTGCCGCCGAAAACGTAGCCAAGCGCCACCTTGGTACCCCTCGACGCGATACGACCGATGTCGTCGGCAAGGAGCTTCTGCTATACCGATGTACGACGGGCAGAGAGGCTGAGAGCGTCATGGCCATGGACCTGCCTTTTGTCCTATTCATACCATTCGGGCGCAGCGGCGAGGAGACGAATAGAAGGATACCGCCGGCCTCGTTACAACTTCCGAGCAGGACCGCCGAGACCTTCTACGAGCTAGTCGTGACTGTGCAACAGGGCCAGAGCATACAAAATAAATACGCGTTCCCCGTGCCTCTGCAGCGCTACGATACTTTGTCGACCTTTGGAATGTACAATCGACCCGAGAGTAAGGTCGCTACCAGCGATAACATCGTGTCGCTTGGAATTTCGCTCCCTAGATGGAGCTACGGACCCATGGACCCGATCACCGTCTATATAAAACTGGCGCCAAACCTGGACTGGATGTCCAAAGCGAGGAAAGTTAGCATAAAGAGCATAACACTGGCGATCGAGGAGGAGATCACCTACAACCCAGAAGGCGACGAACCGACCAGGAAAATCAATAGGCTGCAGAAGTACACCCAGCCCGTCGGAGTCAAACTGCCTGAACAGGGCTACGTGACCAATATGGGCATCATCTTTCCTCACAAGGATCTGAGAGACTCGAACGGGATTATTCGAAGGGGACAGCCAGCCTTTCCGAATTACGAGGTTACTTCGTTCACAACTACGTCCACATTATACAAGATTGAATTCTTTCTTAGCATAAAGGTATGAGAAGGCTGCGAGACTAACTGCGGCATGGGGGGATCGTTTAGAATTGTGCTGACACTTTTGAACTATAGGCGCAGTTGACGGCGGCTCGCGATATAACTCTCCGACAGCCTATCGTGATATGCCCCCTGGACCATCAGGCGTGCAAAGAAGAAATGGACGCGATCGAACAATCAGCGAAAGATGCCTCCTCCGTCGATCCGAATAACCCAATGCTTCCGGCAAGGACTATTGTTCTAGCCGATGCCCCCAACGCTCTGGCGGCGTTGGGCTTCTGCCTCGTAGGAGGTCAGAAGAAGCCGCTGATCGAATAAGGACGTGTCCCATATCCTACCGAATCGACAAGGACAGGAAGTCCAACCACACCCTTCGCATCATATTGTATGCGCGGCATTTTGGCCGCTCCCATCGAGACCTACTCGATGGTGCCCCATGCGGTTTCTTGCGTGATCAGTTATATCAGCCAGTCCTCACAGTCGAAAGGATGCAGATTCCCCGATGCTTCCGTATTTTAAATGATACAGAAGGCTTGGGTAATCCGGTGTATCGGAGCAGCCCGATGCAAGGTTGAAGCCATGATTACATCGGCAAGGCGCAAACATTCCGAAGTAGCCACGAGGCAGTGAACGAGGTTGCTGATTGCAACTGCGCTATCGTTCTTGCCTAGAGGGCCCCTGGTTCTGCCAGATTCTCCCTAGACTTGTCCTGAGGTTCTCACCAATGCGGCGACATGAGGATTATCCCTGATACGCGAGCATGATCCCTTTGGAGATTTCTCCAGACACCTAGGCAGTGCGTCGGCGGGAAACTTGCACAATAGTCACGCCTTGAGGACAGAGGCCAGCTCGAACGGAATACACAAATCGGAGTTTCATGAATTCGCATCTCGCTGGAGTTGTTTTGGCGCTTGACGGACAATGGCGCCATCACGACGGACTGACGGCGTTACCTAGCGGCGTTATGGTTTTGAGATTTTTTTTTTTTCCCCCAGGAATGGCGTGAGAGGGGGAGATAGGATACCAGCGCATCGGATTCCGGGCGTTCTAGGGAATACGGCTGTACAGGCGGCCTTGATTTATTCTTTTTTTTTTTTTCTCTTCCGACTCTGGCTATCGCCATCCAAGAGCAGCCACGAGTCCAACTTGCGATTAGCTTATACCCAAACAAGACCTGGTTTCGCAATGGAGAGGCACGCAAGCTGGTGTACTTTTATATCGTAGCCCCGGGAGCGGGTAGAGCCTGGAAATGTTGGAATCACATATATGTATGTGTACATATGTCGCGCCTTTCATGATTTCTTGCTCTTAGCAGGCACGCAGACATGACTGAAAGAGAAAATGCATCACATCACAAATACTACGGGTGCCGAAATCGCATACGCCGATATTGTTGCTTCTTGGCATATGGATGTTCAAAGGACATCTCCCCTGCGTGAGATAAAAAAAAAAGAGGAAAATAAGGAGAATGAATGATAATATACAGTGGCAGACAGACGTGAGTGAAATTGAGGAAAAAGCAAAAAGATAATTTGAGAGCTGCAGGATTCGAACCTGCGCGGTTTCCCATCGCGGGTTATAAGGTTTCCTCTCGGAAGACCTAAACACGACGCCTTAACCACTCGGCCAAACTCCCCTTGTACTGGCATACGAGCCTATGCTTAGTAGCATCTGTGGTAAATTTCAAGTATATACCACTCTCCACCAACAGGAGAGGCATAGGCTTGTGAAGAGTGGGGCCAAACAGCTAGCTGGTCCCAGCCTGCAGAGACTGGTACTGATAGTGATTCCTATTTCGCATCTCACTTTAAGACTGTGAACGAAATGAGAAATAGAATACACGTAGGTTCTGCGTCAACTTGGTCAAATCAATCTTCTCAATCGTCCCTGGCGCTGCTACGTCCCTACGCTCTTCCTAACTGACGTGGTAAACGCAGCTATCGCGACGGCCTAGTCATCAGTAGTCATATTCTAGACACTACCATGTGAAAATAGGTAGCTTGGCTATTTTTGCGTCACACCGTATCGTTAAGCCTCTTTATCTACGTATCGAGGCGTCTAGGAGGTATCTCTACATCCCGAGATCTTTGGCTGGGTTCTCTGAGCACCTAAACATGCCTTTCGACGACGAGGATCCAGTGCCCGCGTCGGCCTCAGCACCGGCTGCCACGGCGGCGGCGGCGCAGGGCGGAGACGAGGCGCCGTCGCTCGAGGACGCGCTGGCGGACGAGATGCAGGACTTCCGGCTCTTCGCGTCGCTCTTCAAGAAGAACCAGGCGTCCGGCAAGACGCTGCGGCGGGGCGAGAAGGACTTCGAGTCGCACGGCACGCGCGCGCAGGAGGGCGCCCTCGAGGCCAGCCGCGGCGCCATGCACGACGTCCTGAGCTACACCCGCTCCCACAAGCCCAAGGACCACGTCCGCGCCTGGTACCTCCCGGACAAGTGGGCCGATGCGCCGGACGCCGAGGAGAGGCAGGGCGAGAAGGGCGCCGGGCTGTTCGCCCGCCAGCGCGTAGTGGCCGTTGAGAACGAGATCAGGGGTCCGCTGGGCCAGACCACGGGGCGCGTCGTCACGGGAATCGAGGGCTATAAGCACACGCCCGGCTGGCTCAACACGTGGCTGTTGCCCGAGGAGGCCTTGTATCTAGTTGAGCGAGGATCGCTGGATCTCTGGTGGCCGGCGCGCGGCATCGAAGACATCTTCCCGGTTAATAGCGAAGGCAGCAACGGCAAAGGCCCGGCTGGCGAGGGGCCGGAGAAAGCGTTCGAAGACTACGAGCTCGGGATCCCGCTGAGCTTCCAGGCGGCTTACGCGCTCCTTATCGGCCGGGACGGCGAGAGGGGAAAGGTCAGCCTCGAGAAGTACCAGGTCTACGCCAATCTCAGGAGGACGGGCTACAAGATCATGCGCGCGACCGTCATGCCGCTGCCGCCTCCGGACCCCGACCGCTCGCCGCCACAGGCAATATGGCAATGGCTCTTATCTCTACTCCTCCCGGCGCGCAACCCCCAAGCAGTCAATCACCGCCGCCACTCTCCGCCCCCTCCCTGCGGACCCCTCGTCAAGCCTGGCCTCTACCGCTCCTACGACGCGGTCTTCGAGCAGCTCGCCCTCGTACCACGCCACAAGCCATCCCCCCACCCGACGACACCACCGCCGCCGACGAGCGAGCCCTTCGACGTGCACTTCCACGTGTGGCGCAGCAGCACGGCCTTCTCCAAGACGCGCCCCCCGGCGCCCGACTTCCGCGTCGCGGTCGCGGACGCGCGCGCGTCGTGCGTGCCGACCCTCGAGCAGCTGACGGCGCTGCTGGAGCGCCGCACGCCGTGGGACCCGCCCTCGCCGGGAAGAAAGGAAGGCGCAGGCGTGGGCCCCATGTACCAGCGCCTCAAGCACGCGTGGCGCAACGTCGTCGTCGCCGTCGTCGACCGCGGGCTCGTCAGCTACGTGCGCTTCGGCGAGATGGCGTTCGCGGAGGAGAGGCTGTACGAGAGGGTTGGGACTGCTGCCGGGCGCGGGGGGAAGGGGAAAAGGGGCGGGAGGGGAGGGGGGAGGGGGAGGGGGAGGGGGAGGGGGAGAGGAAGAGGAAGGGGTGGGTGAGGGTGATGGGGAAGTGAGCGAGGATTTTATAGGGGGGCTCGCGATGTTTTCTGGTGGGAATGTCTTGTCATCACTGGACTACTTGCTACGAAGATGGTCTAAGGTACGTTGACTTCAGCTAGATTTGCTGCTATTGAAGGCGTTCCATGCCCGAATACTTCAGATTCCTTCTTCAGTGAGATGTGCACCTTTAACTACCAATACCTGTGACTTATCGGTTGAAAGTGCTTGAATGGGATGCCTTGCTTGGGAGATACGGGCTTCTGCACATCGGACCATGGACCGGCAATAGACTCTGTTTCTAATTCTACCTTACCATTCTACGGGAAATAGATTGCTAAAGAGAGAGGCAAGCTGTTTCAATTCGCATCCCTTGCTTGCAAATGGTGAGTTGAAACATCGATACGTGACATCATGGTGCTACAGGCAATTCCTGATGTGATGAGAAGTTATCCTAGTACGATGTGTTTCTGGCAGACCCGCAATGTGACTATATTGATTTGTTGCATAAGAAAAATTTAGAATCTCTCTGGCGGGGTTGAACGCTTACTTTCTACTTTCTTCAAAGATGCGGTCTTGATTGTGTAGCGACTTATGCCATCTACCTTGATAGCTCATCTTTTTTTGAGCTGCCTTAATAATAATAACAGTAGTAGTTTGCTTCCCATGACCTGGAAACATCCTGTTGTCTCCTTGACATGTGTACCTAGCTATACTGTAGACTCACTTACTTGCTCAGAGAGAAGATGATGGACTCGGAGCGACTCTCGTCGGCGTGGGGAGAAAACAGACCAAGTGGAGCAAACCAGAGAAGACGCAAAAAGGCGCAGAGGTAGGACAACTATACTGTACGAACAAACTCCACAAATATGTATCGGCCGAGGCTACACACAAATCGAAGCTATCCGGCTCGTATGGCAGGAAAAGGACGTAGCCATGGATGCTGTGCGCGGGTGGAAATTTGTGTGATACGTCGCTATCAATATGTATGTATATCGTGTCTCGTCTGCCGGCACACGAAAAGCGCCCTGTGATAGGACGGGCATCGGAGGGGATCGCGGTGCTGATACCCCTATGATGGCCATTTCCGTTTCTCCTCCTTCTCGTCGAGTTATCTCCAGAACGTGGTTTGTCCATGTACATACCTAGCCTAGGGAGGTACATACATAGTTCAATGTATCAAACAGGCCGCATTGCGATGATGATTGTCGTTGTCGTCATAGCGCCGGTGGGTAATAGGATAGCTCGCGCAGACCAGCCACCGAAACGGGAAGAGAGACGGTTTGGCAGTGAGAAGATTTGATTTTTATTAATAAAATTATAGTCGTATCACATGATTCAGGTTGGTATCAACCGGGACTGGACGAGGAGATGCCCGTAAACGAAAAAGAATAGTCTTGGCATTGCCTACGCTTGGCTTTTGCCAGTGCTTGGCGTCGCATACACAACTCTCAGCCATGGCTAACCTAGGTTCGTGAACTCTACGGTTAGTGTAGCCTTGGTCTACGCTTGGGTGTTCAGTGTTGACCGTCACATCATCAATAATAAGAGATCATAAGAGACGTATGTACCTTCAAGGGTCCGTAGACGGTACAGGTATGTATCTACATGGTAGCTATGAGATAGGCATGATACCCGTGGACGTACCTAACGTATGTACAATAGATACTTTAGGCCATTTTGAGGGGTATCATGTCCTTCTCTCCCCCTTATTGAGGTGTCGCATTCAGTTACCCCTTCGGTCAGCCCGACTTGCCCGACCAAGGCTGAGAGTGTCAGGTTGCCAGTTACCAGCTCTTGCGCCGTCGCCGGTCACCAGCATTTGACGATCTGCTCCGTTGGAATCCCATTCACTCTCATCACTAAAACTCCAACGGAGCTCGTCGCACAAACACGTAATGTGTTTATTAGCAGGAGCAGTAAATGATTGTGATGACATGATGGCGTAAGATTTGTGTATCATCGTACCCTATTTAGGCTGGGGATTACGATTACTGAGAGGCGAGAGGCCGAAGCAGAAAGTAGGAAAAAAAGAGAGAGATTAGTTTAGACATGCAGCAAGTGTCCACAATGCATCCTTCTTAGCACCCAATACCACTCCCTACCGCCCGCTATCTCAGCTGTAATCATCCGCCGACCTCCCGAATCAAAAACTTTCTGCGACAAAAAAAGATCCACCGAGGCCCCTAAACTGGAGACTTTGAGAGTTCAAGGACTGGTTCTATCGAAGGGGGCACAGGTCGCCCTCTGCTAAATCGAATCTCTATAATTACCTACCTGTAGGTACATATATTAAACAAGTCTCGATGGTCTCGGCTGGGGGCTAAATGGAACGTCGACGCCATACTTATTAGAAATATCTCTGTCTACCATTGCAGGGGGGGGGGGCGTTGGTTGGGTGCTGATCCATAGGTCAGGTCAGTCTTCTAAAGTCCGAAGTCCTGGATCGAATTGCGCAATACCCGTAATCCTTCTTCGATTCCAATACATGCATGCATATATCATGTATTATCATGTATGATCATGTATACCTCTGCGTGTAAAAGGTCTGCCAGTTACATGTACCTTCACAATTCAATTGCGCGCAGTGACACCGAATCGAGGTCATCTTGTATCCTATAAGATATTCTTGTTCAACTAGGTAACCATATGGATAGGTATTGGCAGTTGGTTGGTGGATAAGAATCACGCCTAGACCATACCTAGTAAATTACTGCGCGCATGGAATTCCTCGTCGCGCGTGTAAGAAGATACATCCAAGTCAGAATTCAACACATTTGGCCCCGGCGTTACATTCCTGGCATGTCTCCCTAGATAGCGAGCATGTACCCCATATCCATCTATACACTCTTCTCTGTGCCCACGAAACCAAGAATAACAACTCGTGCCTCAGACAGACTGAAATTGTCAGATGGCTGGTTGGCCGGCTTGTCGCATAACCCCTGATCTGATCAAGACTGATGCTACGCATATTTCTTCCACCTGATTCCGCCCTCGCTATTCGTCGCATTGGTCATGCCTGAACCTCATACGC